GCAAGAAAAAACTAAAAAGTAAATCAATATCCCTGTGTATTGAAAAGCTTCTTTTGTTCCCTTAAATTTCCTAATGAAAGAGATTGCTTCAATAAATTCAGAAAGGAAAGCAAAGGTTTACTAGCTATTTTTTGTGGGGGGCAAAAAAAGGATGTTGACAGCTTCCAGAAAAGCGACTTGATTTTGTGTTTCAGGAGCTTTATCTTAACTGCTAGATGAGGATTTGGAGCTAGGTCTTCAGAGAAGCACAGGGAGGTCTGTACTGGATGGTTCAGCACCTGCTGTGCAAAGGCACCATGCTCACTGCTGGCCATGGTGCAAGGCTGCAGGCAGACTCTCTTCTTGGCTGCCATTGTGTGTTCAGTGAAGTTTGTCTAGCGAGAGGTTGTCCTGGGGAATTCAACACCTTTAAAAGTTTCCTTCTCCTATATACCTCATCTAAAGAATCATCATCTGAAAACCTGATTTTGAGTTCTTTGGTAGGAAACTTGAGGTTCATTAGACTATGCAGATTTTCTCTTTGGAAACCCACGTGTACAGAGATGAGCCAGAGTAAGTTTTGTGTGCCAGTTTGTGCAGTCCAATAACTGGTGTTTGCAAAGACACACGACTGTGACTGAAACCCAGTGGCAGATGCTCTTGAGCCACACGCACCTTGCGGGGAGGACACTGGAACTTGGGACGGGCCAAGTTCTGAGGGGCGTTGGGTGTATACTGTGCATTTGCCTCATGCAAAAGTTTGAATATGCCTTTCCTGAATATTTTAAAAGAATGATTAAAAAATGTATGTTCTGAATATTTAAAATACGGCTAGTATTTTGGAAGATAGTTGTGTTTAACCATGAGGAAAAGCATAAGCTATGAAATTTGGACTGGTGTTTGTAATGGGTAACAACAGAGCCACGTTGCAAACTTTTTGTAACTGAAATTATATAGGCCTAGGCTTTTCCTTTCCAACTTGCACAGCCTGTAGGCGGCTGTCCTTTCTTTCCCAAATGTTTCTGCAGATCACAAAACTGTGAAAGACTCACAGTGTCCTGCACTGGGGACTGGCCTCTCTTAAACCTGTGGCTACAAAGGGGTAGCCTGAGTTTTCTTCAGCTTTTCTACTCTGGAAGGCTGCTTGGTAGCTCCCTGCCTCAAGAGCTGTATTTAGGGTGGCAGCACTGGATCAGCATTGACTTTTCTTGAAGGGAGAGCTGTTTTTACAACAAAAGAGCTCAGGAATTTGTCTGGCAAGAAACTTTGTAAATGTAAATATCCTCACAGGAATTTTCTATCCTCATATTAATTTTAAATTGTTATGAATAAAGTGGATTTTGTTTCCTTGGCAGGTGCCTTGATTAACTGGACACCTTTGGAGGATAAAAGATGAAGAACATGGATGGCTCATCAGTCACTGATGAACTGATCTCATCACACTGTCCACATGTGAAAGAAAAAGTAATTTTTGCCTCGATTTCAGGTAGGTGCCTGTTGTTTACTGTACCTCACTTGCCAAGCTTTGGGGGAATCTAGGAAAATGACAGTGCATGCCTGAATTTAATTTAAAAAAAAAACACTGCCAGATTTCGGTCATGTGCAAGACCTGACGTGCCATTGCTTTTTTGACACCCCTTTAGGCTCTCTCAGTTCAGAAGAACACCATTCAGCTTATCTGGGGGACCACAGCCTGTTTTTGGAGTCTGATGTGTCATCAGATACAGCTAGGTATACAGGTAGGGTAATCAGTAGCCAGGAGTGCATGCTGCTGCAAAGCACAAGCTTCCTCTGGAACCAGAGCTGGATGCACTGCTGAGTGCTGAAAAACATGGCCCTTGTAGCTTCTGGGCTGCTGGACTAGATGGTCATTGCAGACCCTTCCAGCTGAATTCTTCTGATGAGGGGGCTGCCATAGTTCCTGAATTGTCCAGGAGCAAAGACACCGGTACCTCCATCCTGTGGCTACTGATCTAGCTAGGCAGGTCAGACCAAATCATGCTCAGGACACAGATGGGGAAAACACTGATCCCAAACTGGTTGCTGTTCTGTTGCAGGATTAATAATACTTCATTGTTACTATGGAGGAACACCTGGCAGCTAAATGAACTAGAGACTGCTGGAGTAGCCTATGGAGGACACCTGGGGAAGATGAGAACACAGCAGTCAGATTACGATCCTTCCTATCAGTTTTTTTTAAACTTCCAGTGAACCAAGTCAGGAAATTCTTGGATTGCAGAGGTGAAATCCTCATATTTAAGAGCCCTGTGTGGAATTTTCTTCCAGAAAAATGATTATTCCCTTTACATGTGCAAAATATTTCACATTTTACATTGCAGCAAGGAGTATCATACCTTGCCTGTATAATATATGACGATATCTTGTGCTTGTTTTAAACCTGTTGCTCTTGTTTGAAGTCCCCTAGTTACTGTATGAGAAGAAACAGTGAACAGTGTTTTCCTGTTCACTTTCACTACTGCAGACGTTGCTCTATATGTTTTGTTACATAGTACCTCAATGCCATGAGATGTTTCTGCATTTCTGAGTGGTCAATGTATAGATTTCACATTTTACTTTAGAGTAATTAAAGTAATTGGAAGTAATAGTTCCCTGGGTTTTCCACATTCCATTGCCTTCCTGCCACCGTGTTTGCTTTATACCTGCTGTGTTCATGTCCTCATTTAAGGTAAGCATTCTGGGCCTCTGCCATTATTATCTTCTTAGAGAATCCTGTGAAATATGGAAAGCATTATTTTGTATTTCTGTTGCTGTCTCCTGTTCATATCAGACTTTTATTTTACCACTTCTGTTTGCTTTTTGACTTTTGTAAACTTCTGTCCTATTCCTTACTTGAGCTTGCAGTGTCTGCCATAGGATTCAGAACAGTGGATCCTATGTGCACCAGTCTGCTTTGTCCTGCTTGTCAGTTGGAAATTTCTGTGTAAACTTCCTGATGTGATGTTCCCATTCCCCTCTCAGCTCTGATGGAAATCTGGTCATCCATTGATAGGCATAACCTACTCTAGAAGCTTCCCCAGCCCCTGATGAACCTAAGCCTCTCTTTCTTACTCCATTGCTTTAGTTGTGCATTGAGACTTCGCCTCCTCACCAGCTGTGTGATGACAGGGGTCCTGGTCTTTGGCATCCTACTTTCTGCCTTCAGATTCCTTCTTCTTTCTTTTATGTGGGACCCAGGTGTACTGCAACCCCTACCTCCTTCCCAGATTGTCCAGGCTTTTTTTTTTAAGTTTGCCAGCATAGCACAAGCAGGCACAGCAGTACACTGTCTCTGGAATCAGAAGCCAAATGTGTTGGGTGCCTGGTAACTGAGCCACGGATTGCTATTGCCTGTCCCTTTTTCTTAGCAGGGATTTCTGCCCTGGGGAAGCATTGTCAGTACAAGAAGATATGGAGACACTTTGTGCAGAGAGACAATCACTGACCAGGATTATTACATCCTTACCAGTTTGGTGCCTTTTTGATGTGAAACTAGGGTTGGAGGAGCTTTTCAGTGCCCTAGAAAGCCTCCTCAGTTTAACCTCTTTCCTTAAGCAGCAGTAGGTTTTTTGCCTGCAGGTGAGACTGTTGAGAAACTGCCATGAAGCTTCCGTGTCATACATTCTCCCACCTATGCCACAGTCGAGTCACAAGAAAGGGCTCCATCTCTGAGGATCGTGGGCCTGGAATGAATGTCTTCATGCCTCCTACACACAGGTCAGGTAGCCATGTGTATGACACTTGGTACTTCACCTGTGGAAATTGTCACCCTCTAGCTAGGCTTCTGACTGCACTTCTTCTGCACGTCTGGACCGACTCAGTAGAAGCGTTCCCATAGGGGATGACAGTGCAGCTCCCAGGTGAAGTCCTGAGAAGCAATTACAATATGTGCGGCATCAGCAACGGCATTCGACGGGTTTCATAACCAGTTATGCTGAGACACTGACCTAATCCTAATTATGAGAAGCTGAGGCTTATCTTCAGCCTGTTTCATCCAAAAGAAGCTGGCCTTCCCAGAAAGGCGGTCTTCCTGTTACTTGGCTATGGACTTGTTGTAAAGGGGATGGAAGAGGTCCAGCCATGTGTGATGCACTTTCAGCAGTGTGTTACTAAGCTGGTGATCCCTGAGCTGTAGAGTTGTCAAATGAAAATCATTATTTGGAGGAAAAGAGTCCCTAGATGTTTATTGCAGCAAAGCATATATTTTCTTTGACACACACATATCTTGTTGTGATGGTCTGTCTTCATTATTCGCCTTCTGAAATAAATCTGTGTGTAAGGCTATGTGGATATATGTATCTTCTAGTGAGTTAGGTGAAACTGAGAAGGGTTCCTAAGAGAAGACTGAGAAATGCTACTTTAGGTTAGCGTTTGGTCTTGTGTTAGTTGGCTTGCCAGTTAACTTGCTGTAACTAGCATGAGTAGAAATGCTTATCTAGACAACCTGCAAATATTTGTATCACAAATGTTTATGACCAAAAGTATTTTTCCAGGACAGAAGGGTATGGCCACAGTTAAAATTAACATTAAAGAGTTAAAGAAGAGTGACAAACTTGAATGTAGCCATTCTTAAGGGGGCAAGTTCACGTCTGGCCAAATGACCAATTTCAAGGAAGTCCAAGGGAGCTGAGGCACATGCTGTTCAATCTACATCAGTTTATATCAGCTTCATATCTGCTCTGGGACTGAACACTGTCTGTTTAGAACACACAAATTTTCTCTCTTGGTCTTGCCCAAAATTCCTGATTTGTTTTTAATTATACCAAAGAAGGAAATAAACTCCACATCCTTGCAAAATTTTTGTGACTCTTCTGATTCGGGGTGTTGCAGGGCGCAGTTAATGCTCTGAAAAGGCTTTGGGATTCCTGGATGAAAGGTGTGATGAAAGAAGAGTATTGTTATTGTTTTAGGGGAGGAATCATACTACTGGGTAAGCCTCTGTCACTGAGACTTGCTGGACTTGTTTGTTCTGACTTGCCTATGACTCCTTCCTTTCCTAATTCAGGAGATAAAGCCTCAACTCTATGCTGAGATGCTGCACAGTGTGTTGTGGTGTCTGGGACAGTGCATCTCCCAGACAGAACTGCTTCTTGCTGACCTCTCAGTGGCATCCAGAGGTGAGTGCTATGGTCTTCTGACTTGGTCCTTGGTAGCTCGGGTAGCATGGCTCTATCACACATAGGTTTACAAAGCAGCTTGAGCTTTGGCCAAGGGTGTGGGGAGAAGGGCACTAGTTCTGAGCTTACTTCTGATTTGGGCTGCCTTCCGTGCACCAATAATCCTTCTGCTGTTTCACCCTTTCTCTTCACCCAAAATACATTTGTTTTCTGAATATTCCGCAGCTCCTCTACAGCATGTGATGGTGACAAATCAAGGTGGCCTATGGCCACTGAAGGTTATAGTGGGGGAACAAGTGAGAGTCATCTCACTGTGCCCCAACTTTGATCTGCTGTTTGTGCCACTGTGGTTAGAACGTGTTTCAGTTACAATCACTGAGCTAATGGCGTAGTACAAGAGGGTGAGTGGAGTGAAGTAGGTAAAAGTAGCTTCTTATGCTCTTGTTTATCGTGGGCTTTGTGTGCAGCCAGATATTGAATTGTATGAACAAATTGCAGAATCAGCTTGGAAATGCACCAGATCTGGCACAAGGCCATTTCACCCACCCTGCCTTGGAATGAAAATCAAACTGAAAATCCACAAAGAGTGTAACTGCTTGTTCGGCGTGTCGCTCCTGCAGCAGATTTCAATTGCTCAAAGGGGACGGATGGAGGCAGGCAGAGCTACTTTCAAAGGCTGAAAAGCAGAGATCTGCTACGTTCTGGGACTGCCAAACTATATGACTAAGATACTTGTGTATGACCAACACAGCTGGAAGTGGAAATCTGAGCGGTAAAGATGATGTAGAAGCTGTAGAACTTTATCCTAAACTGATTGTAATCAGAAGCAATATACTTAATATTTCCTTTACCCTGCGATGGCCTCTCATGTTTGTAAAGTCATTATGTAGTGAGTAGCCATCCTAGTTTTACCAAAGCTTATTTCAGAACATGAGTCTGTCTTAAGATGTTGGCTGTGGCAGTCAACTCTAGAAAGATGCATTATTGACGTAGGGTATTAGTGATGTCCCAGAGACTGTTGTAGTAGTACGGGAGGCTAGCTCTATCCCAACAGTTAGAGTTTATAACCTCAAAAAGCTGTATGCAAAATGGATGAGAGAATAAGGAACAGCAGACCTTTTGTGCCGATTGCAAAGGTGAACAAATAATTGGGGATATAGTTCCTGGTAAGTTCTGAGTAAACACATCCCGAAGACCGAACGCCGGCCTTGAATCTTGATGCAAATGACAAGAAGAGTGTTTGGAGCTGTTGTCTTTGCCCAGCTAAGTGTGCTCCTGGGAAGCAGCAAGACCTCGGTAGAATTGGAGGCTAAGGGGAGGAGCTCAATTAGTAAGTGGCAAATACATTAACGATGTGCTATCTGACTGCAGAGGGTGGCATGCAGCACCTACTGTTTTTGTGGGATGTTCGAGGGTGTGGGGAGATCAAGCTGATTCAGCATGACGCACAGCAGAACACACACGTTTTGTTTCCCTCAGCAGATCCCTTCTGTGCTTGGAAGTGACCCATTGTGTCAGAATTGCTTTGGGACGTATCAAACATTGAGTGATTGAGGCTGGTAGGTAACCGACTTGATGGAAACAAGGGTCTTGCAGTACTTAGGTAGGCACTAGCTGCTTCTGTTTCAGTGCCCAAAGTAGCAGAGGTGGTTGTCCCATTCTCTTAGACTTGTGTGTCCCAAGTATGCCACAAGAGCAGAGGAGAAGCGTTAGGCTGGTGTGGTGGCTTGTGGCAAAGGTGGGAGTGGAATTAGCATGTCTTGCTTCTTGGCCCTGTGCTTTTGCTACAGGACTCCTGGACTAAGCAAGGATTATTTTAGTCACTGTTGTTCCAACAACCCTGCCAAGGCAGATAGCTTCAGGGACCTAGTCTGGATTTTCAAATTGCACTCACTAGACCAGCAGATTCGTCTGTTCAGTTGTCTTGTGAAAGGTCCCATCTCTAAGAAGAGTGACTGTAGCCTGAATCCATCTTCGAACGGAAAAACTGATCATGACTGTAAACGTGAAGAGACTCTTATCAGATGTGCCACCCAAGCTCTGCAACTGGCTCGTCTGAGAGTTGTGAAATATCAGTGAGCAGGGCTATAATAATTAAAAAAAGGTAATAATAAATTTACTGTAGGAAGACAGTAGCATATCATATAGAAGGGCTTGTGCGTTTTCTTCTATGCAGAGCATGGCAAAACAGCTGGTGCCACAAAACATGACATAGATTCATCTGAAAGCAAACCTGGGTCTTTTGCATTTGGGAAATGTTCCAAGTGGAAGGTAAAGAATTCTTTTGGGATCCAACCTGAAATCTTGTCTGATCTCTCTTTGATTTTCCAAAGGAGACGAGACAATTTTAGCTCCATAAAATTTCAGTACAAATTTTCTTCCTAATGTGCCAGTAATTATTAATGTAGCTTTATTTCTTGCTGTATTTCACTTATTAAAATATTCTATATCGAGGCTTGATTTAATTCTCTCACTAAGCACACCTTTACTGTGTTTAAAAGAACTTAATTTGATACAAACAACTGTTTCCAAAATAGTTAATTTAGATTAATTTTTTTTTTCAGTATAGAATAACTTTTTAGTGATGAAAACATTCTCTGGCTCAGACCCAAGGTATGTAAACCAGGAGACTTAATAGTTTGCATTTCCAGACCCAAATGAACAAGTTGTCAGATGCTCCTGTCTCCACGAATTGTCTTGGACTCCTTGAGAGTGACGCGTGTTTTAAACGAGAACAGAGATTGCTGGAGGAGGTCCAGTGTTCATCCATAGTATTGTCGAGATGAGCAGTGTTTTACTGAGTAAAAGATCCTGGGTTTGAAGCTTCTGCAGACATAAAAGCTCCCAAACACAGCCCATGAGGAGGTGCTGTTTGGAGCAGAGAGGACTCAGCCTTTGAGATCTCTTGGTGGAGTCTGGCTTCTGATCTGCTGTCATGGCTTGCTTTTGAGAAAGGAGAGTTGTTGTCAGCCGTGCTGGAGGATGAATGCATTGGTGTTACCTGAGTTCCCGTCTGCCCCTGAGAATTAATTTGCAGCTCACTAGAGTTTTGGCAGTCACAAAATCAAGGCGTGTGCTATAAGGAAGCCAGAAGTGTGAGGCTGTACAAAGCACCCAACTCTGGAAGGCATCTACACAGCTGTGGTATTGGGGGTCTTCTGAGGAAGACACCTATGTATTAAGCGATGCCTCTTTGCCAGGAGAAAAGAGAAAGGGTGCATCTGTGGTTGAAGGCGATGAGACCATCTCTGCCTTTGTGCAGATCAGCACTGCAGAGGACCAGTGTTTCTCTGGCCAGTGAGTGTTGCTGGATGGAGCAGTTTTCTTGGTTACTAGAGTGCAGAGAAGACCGTGCAGAAGTCTGTTTCCTAAACAGGGGATCTACCTGCTCCTGAAACTCTCTAAAACTAGCCCAAACCAAGCTTTTATGTGCGGAGATTAAACTCTGAACTGCTTCCAACTTCCCTGTCACTTGCTGAGTATACCCTCTCTGTGTGCATACCTCTTGGTTATCTCCTCTGTGGCCCTATCTCTTTTTTTCCCCCACCTCGTTTCTGGTTTGCCTGGCTTACCATCTCTTTCTTGTGGCTTTGCTCAGCTTTCTTGCCCTCAGGGCAGGGTGCATAACCCCATTCTGCTCTCCCATCACGTCACTGGCTTTTGCTGTCTTGGATTTGTGCATCATACCCTCGTCCCTAACTGAGTATCTGCCCTGTTGGGTCATTTCCTAAGATGGAGCCTCTGCTGGTATCCTGCTCTGCTCTCACTGTGATTTCTTCTTTGCCACCTTGTAGTTAGGAAACCTGCAAAGCCTTACTCACTCTGCCTGCCTTTCTGCCCCTTCCTGCCTCTGTTTTCTTGGTTGTTGCTCAGAAGTGGTGGTGCCATAGGCCTGGAAAGGGGAAAACAGCATTTATTGTCTTGTTCACAGCAATACAACCATGGATCAGTGGGTGTAAAAGAGCATGGTGACAAGCCAGCCGAGTCCCTCTTCCCCGGGGCTGGCTGCTGCCATTTGTCACCCCAGGCACCTTTGAGAGATTAGCCCACATGTTTTTCTGATACTCTGTACTAATACTGACCGTGGTGTAGAGACTCAGTGTGTGGCAGGACAACAGTTACTACAGAGCGTGCTGTGGAATTACTAGGGTTCTGAAATAATTGTGCTTAAGGCTTTGCATCATCCTGCAACAAAGCTGCCGGGGACATGCACAAAAATGTGGCTTGTGTAATGCTGCAAGGAGGCCGCAAGCAGAGCAGAAAGGCTTATGTGCCTGTGTCCACCTGTGAATCAAGTTCCCAGCCCTTTTACAGCTCTGCTCTTGCTTTCAGAGAGTCACTAAGTCTGGGTCTTGTTGCCATATCACATTTGCACATGACTAGCTGTTTCTCTCCCCTCTGACAGGCTGTCTGGCAGGGGGGAGGATGTGGTCTTCTACAATGTATATGTGGTTTTGGTGCAACAAAATCCAAACCCTGTAGGGGGTCAATAAATGTTACTACTCATACCAACTAAAAATAACTTGAAGCTGTATGTTATGTGGCATCTCTGGTAGCCTGGAATATCCTCGGTGCAGGAGTTATTCCCTAAGTCATCAGTTTACGTTCAGTTTAAGCACCTGCCTGGGCAGGCAGCTGCACTTGGAATTTGTGTAAGATTTCTTGATGGGAAATTGTCTCTGCTAGCAATACATGCACAACTCTGGGCTTTCCTTAAGGATGCGTGGGAAGCAATAGAGGAAAGTTAGAACACAGGAAATTCTGTCTAAATATAAAGAAAAAACATTTTCTGTGAGGGTGGTCAGAGACTGGACCAGGACTCCTGAGAGAGTGGGGATCTCTGTTCTTCAGGATACTAAAAACTTGACTTGACAAAGGCTGGAGCAACCTGCTGTAGTGGCACCTGGTTTGAGCAGAAGATCAGACCCACAGGGTCCAGCAGTCCTTCCCCACCTACCTCATTCTGTGAGGTTTGTCAGCTGAGCTAAGCTGTGCCGGATCTGATTTGGCTCAGGATACGCTACTGTCTTTGTAAGAGAGCTGAATTTCTCCACGTTTCCTTCGATGCAGACAGTGACCCAGATGGACAGAGCCGCGAAGCGCATAGAGCCGTGGAAGATAGCAGTCATCGTTGTGTCGGTGATCGTAGGCTTCGCCCTCATCATTGGCTTGATTACATTCTTTTTGTGCAATGGTAAGTGCACCACTCTTTTTGTTGTCACAAGTCTTCAGGAGTCTGTTGTGTTTCACATGCTACTGTGGCCTTGCCTGACGATTTATGTTTTGCCTCTCTTTTTGTTTCTTGTCTTGCCCTTGTGGCTCCACTGGTATATACATGGTTAACCAAAGGTTGGCAGTCTTCTGTTGAAGCCAGGGGTGTGGTAGTACTCTTGGTCTCAGATAGGGTTTTTTCAGAAACTGAACCTGGCACATCTAGCTGAGGGTTTTCCAGAAAGAGAGAGGGCAGACCTTTAGGCTTTGTGGAGACCAGGACTTAGTCCTGGTTGCCAAGGGCCCAGATTCAGAAGGAGGTGAATGAAGCCAAGCCATTCTATTCCAAGTCTCCAGGATACCAATGTGAGAAGTTTAGAATTGCCTTCCTGCTGGGATGGAACTAATTGTGCTGCTGTCTCAGCTCACCAGGAGTTGATGAGGTTTGCATTAGGACACTAGGCAGAGCAGTGGCAGAGCTACAGCTTAGCTTTGCTGTTTGGCAAACTCTGAGTTATGAGGCCACTCTGCCATTCACTCAAGGGCCAGATTTTAAACTTAACCCAACTACTGAACAGCTCTGAGCCACTTGCCTCTCAGAGGGGCAGGGACATGCCAGAGTGCAGGTAGAGAGTAGTGAATGTGTCAGCTGAGGCAGAAGGGACACGTGTGGGCTAGTGTGTCTCATGCTGTGCTCATCTCGGGCTGATGCGAAGACGTTCCCTAGAGAAATCTTGTAATGGTTGTAATTGAGAGCTACTTGGGATGGTCCTCAGTGTAGAAATGAGCCTCTGTCTAGTCCACGGAGCAACAAGATGGTCCAGAGCCCCCTTTTCCCAAAGTGCTTTTGACACTAATTCCACAGCTGACAGGGTCATGGCCAGTGCCTGGGAGCTTCACGTGAGCCGTGCTCTGAGAGGTTCTGTGCGTGTCTGAACTGGCACCTTTCCCCTTCTCTGTAGATCAGGACCGATACTACGATGCATCTTTCCTCATCACCAATGTCAAGTACGACCCTCAGTATGAGAGGCAAACTACAGAAGAGTTCAGGCACCTGAGCCAAGAGATTGAAACTATGGTAAGCCAAGATATTTTTCTCTTTCTCCCTGACCTGTGGTGAATAGTCCTGAGATTGTGTGATTAAAGAGTCAGAGGTGATTATGTCTCATCTTTATGCAGCTGGCCTTACTTTTCAGAACTTCTTTAGTGAGTTAAATATACGTTTCTGACTGTGTGCAAGCAGATGGTAAGCACAGGTGCTGTCTGTTCTAGCAGCCCTGTGGTAGAGCAGGCACTTGCAGAGCAGAAGGGACAGCAAAATCGGCCAACTCAGTGGTTTATTTTGGTTCTGCATCCTCTGATGGAAATTTAGCAGTAGCTGTGGTGGAGAGGTGAACATCTAAAGGCATTTTCTTGTATTTCCAGGCTCAGGAGACTGTTGTATGTTGAGAGCACGTACGTGTCACAGATGTATTTTAACACTCTTTTCCTTTAACAGATATCTGCAGTATTCAAGGGGTCCTTTCTAAGTAAAAGGTACATCAGGTCCCATGTTGTCAGTCTAAGGTAAGCAATGTGAAGGTCAGGAATAACAAGGGATGTGATAAATAGCCTTTCTTCCTACCCTTGACCATATGGAGCACACCAGGTTATTTATGCTTGGATTACACCAGCAGGATGAGTAAGTCTTGGCTGGGTGTCACTCTGCTTCAGTGCTCGCAACATTGAGGGCTCAGTTACCTTCAGAGGTCAGCAAGTAGGAGAAATTTGGCCCTATACTTGTGCAGATTGATTACCTGAGTACCAGTTATTTGTGGTTGTGATGCAGTAGCTGAATTACTAGGTCATTCCAGTGTTCACGGCTAGTTAAGGGCTTGAGAGTTGCAGTCAGCTCTTTATTCCACTTACTGTGTCCCATGGAAGCTCAGGCTGTTGTCTGCCCCTCCGCATGGTGTACAGCAGGAGGTGACTGTTCTCCTCCATCTCTCAGAAGGACTGAAGGAATAAAGGATTCCTCATTGAGATGCCTGGATACATAATTGAGGGAAGGAAGCAAAAGAGACATACAAGTGTCAAGGTCCTATGTAAGAAGTTTTGAGTCTTTCCCCCCTCTGCAGTGGTTATGTATCACTCTTGGCAGTAAGATCCATCACTTCCCTCTACTTCACATTACATTGGTTTGGAGTTGTATTTCTGTAAGTCTCAGTTCTTTGGCATATTTTTCCCTAGACAGCAAAGAATGCCAAACTTCCCACAAATGTCCTTTTTCACAGCACTTCTGGGCTTTCTTGCCTTTGCCCATCTCTAGATGGAACTAATAATTTCCTTAAATTGTTCTATATTGTTTTCTGCTGCTGGTTTCTTCCACAAGCCTCTTATACTGTATATCAACTGAAATTACAGAACCTGGGAGCTAGCCTTCAAGCAGCCTTTTTACATCTTTTAGGCTGACCAGTGTGTCTCTTGTACACTTGTTTTCACTACAAGATACCTTGTCTTGCAGTTAGGCACTGGACCTAACAAACAGCCGAGCTGCTGCATCTCTGCTGGTTTTCCCTCTAGGGTTCAGTTGGTTTCCTTTAGACTGTTAGTCTAAAACATTTGGCCTCACTTTATAGTCACAATAAGTGATCATGCCTTGCTCTGATAACTCAAACTATTGAGATTTTTGTCTCTAGATACAGTGGAGCTAACTGGCCAGTAAATGGACAAGTGACTTAAATGGACAGAAATGCTAAAAGACCTTTTTAACTTCTGAGGCTCTAAACTGGGTATTTTGAGTGACTGTTAGGAATGACCTGCTGGGCATGTGCTGAAGGGTTTTAACTTGCCACATTGCTCCTACTGCCATCTGTGTCCTACTGACTATGAGCTGCATGGAGGCCAAAGGGAGTGATCCCTTCTCTCCTTCACAGCTGTACCACTTGGGATGGTTACCAGAAAATTCCGTCTGGCCATCGTTATGGTGAGAACCAAACCTGCTGCCTGCTGACATCCTCCTCCTCCTTTACTTGTGCACAGCCATCCTCTCTGGTCTGTACATCTGTGCAGACCCGTTCTTGCGTAAAGAAGGCCGCCGGTGCAGAGCAGAGCAGAGGGCTGGTGGCACGGAGGGGCTGAGCCCGCTGTGTGTGTTGATTGCAGCCCGGATCCCGGCGGCGTGCTGGCGTCTGTTGTGCTGGTGTTCAGATTCCCCTCGGCCGACGGGAAGGCCTCCACCTGGGGCCACGTCAACAGCGTGTTACGCAGGAGGCTGAAAACAAGTTCCACGTTCCTGGAGGTTGACCAGTCTACCCTTGCACTCAGAGGCAAGTGCCTTAGGTTTGTGTTTTCAGCTTGCAATTTGTTCCTCATACTTTACTGTTCTCAGTGTAAGGAGTTTCACTTTAGTATGCAGGTATGGGCTCTTCTTGTTTTCTTCTTTTGCCTTCTCAAAACTGTGTTACAGCTGACAGCCCAGGATGCCCAGCTTGGAAGAAGTAGCATGAAAAGAACTAAAGCAAACTGGCACTGTTTCTTGAGTGTGAGCTCTCCTTTGTGGTCTCTGTGTGACCTAGCTCTGTTGAATGAGATAGTCCTCCCCAACGACTCCATAAAAGGCCCAATTTTGTGACCATGGGTTCACGGATTACTTTAAGGGACACAGTGAATGGGACAAGAACCTGTATCACCAGGTACTGAAAGGAAGAGTCCTCAAACTCTTAAGACACATGGAAGGCTGAGATGGTTCTCTTCACTCTCTGCCATTCCCTTTGCTTATTTGACAGATTGCTGTAGCCAGTGTTCATAACAAAACACTGAGGTTCCCAGGCAGTAATCATCTCCCATGAATCTGTCACTGGTTACCATCAGAATCTGACAGAGAGTTTTCTGTAGGAAAGAAATGAAAGTAATATTAAAGTTTAGCTCCAGTCAATCCCAGCACTGAGGATTTAATAAAATGATAGAATGGTTTGGATTGGAAGGGACTTCACCTAGTTCCAAGCCCCTTGTCACGGGCAGGGACATATCCCACTAGACCAGGCAGCTCACAGCCCCATCCAGCCTGGTCCTGAACACCTCCAGTGGTGGAGCATCCACAGCTCCCTGGGCAACCTGTTGCAGTGTCTCACCACCCTCATAGTGAAGAACTGTTTTAACCATAATACTGAACCTGAGCAAAAGTATATAGGTGTTTATATCATGCACAGCTATCAGCACATGTAGCTGTTACTTGGGCCTCTTTGCAGTCATCTGCTGCTTTTGTTAGCTTTGAGCTAAGGCAAGGAAGATACATCCTTTGGCCTTACACTTTCAGTGAGGAACAGAGGCTTAACTGAACTTCTCCAGCAGAGCAAATGACTCCTTTTACCGTCCTGTCACTCCATGCAGTGATGCAAGCCATTTCATTGCTGTTTGCTGGGTACAGGCATCATGCAGCACTGTACTCACTGTGGTGTTTGCTTTTCATTTCAGAGCTGAATAAGGAAAATGGAGATAACCTTTTGAACAACTGTAAGTACAAATGCTTTATAGAAAAGGTCCAGGGTCATGGTGCTCTAGGTTCTCTGTCTACAAGATTCTCATGCTTTTGAGATGCAAGCTGACAAAATAATTTGTTAGAGATCCTAGAGCAGTTGACCGTGCACGAGGCAGAGAAGACTTCAGCTCATTTTCTTGCAGTCAGCCTGGCTCTGTAGTGTGTGTAGAATCACACATCCTGGCGTGGTGGTGGTGAGCACTTGCTTTAATGTTTCTTATGGGAAGCAGAGGCATGTAGATGAGCTGCTGTTAGAGAGCTTTGCACAAGAACTACAGTTGCTGTGGGCCAAGATTCTTGCCAGAATTCTTCCAAAATCATTCCCTTCTAATCCTTCCACCTGCTAGGAAGGTTTGGCAATAGGTGTCTGTTACATTTGAGCTAAACCTTGCAATACCCAGGGGAAGGCTGGAGGGTGGGAGAGGGAGAAGAGCTGTCCACAGTGAGAGCAAAGCAGTGGCACAGTCCTGGGGAGAGGGGCAGGTTCTCAGTCCATCTCCTGTTCTGTGCTCTCCCCCCCAACTCCACCCCAAGGTCTTAAGGCTGCCCTGGGAACAGGGAGCCAGAGTACATCCCTTCCCAGGGGACTGCGTCAGTCCTCTGCATGGTCCTGGAGCCTTTCTGTGTTAACTTTCCATCTTTATGTGGACTCTGAGAATTAACTGGTTTGGATCTAACTTTTTTCAGCTGAGTAGCATGTGACTGTGCTGTTTGGCACAGTGCCTCCAAGTAAACTGTTGGAGGAAGAGGATTCTATTTTTTTGTTGCTGTTGCCAAGGCTGACCTGGAGTTCACCTGGAAAAATCCCTTCTTTGTTTGCTTAGTTTCTGGGTGGGTTTTTTGTTTGATTTTGTGGTTGTTTTTTTGCAAACTCATCTTCAGCAATTGTGACACTTAAAGCTATACTGTGTTGGTCCTGCCTTGGGTGTCCAGGTGGGATGTTACAAATTATGGGAAGCTTGCCTCCACCGAGTTCACAAGCACAGTACCTGTCTTGTGTGTGCTTTGCTGGTGATGCGTGCATTAAGGGTTAGAGCTGCCCTGGTGTGGTTGGTCTTGATGTGGAGGTTCCTCAGTATTTTCATACACAATTTTTAAGAAGTACTTTTAAACCAGATTAAGGACTTTATAAAGAAAATACATTTTGCTAATACGGTACCAAGAGAGGTTCAGATGAACCTTATATGCCGTTACTATGAAAGCTATATGAATGTAAATGTTTAGGTTAGTTATCAGTGTGTGTTTTGTGCCTAGTAATCTGTGTGTGTCCCTGTGACACGCTAATGACTATGTATGTTACCTTTCCTTCTGTACAGCTCTGGTCAAATATCAAAAAAAAAAGCAAAATTTGTCAGGGCAAGGGTAAGCAGTTACAACTGGGGAAAATAAACCATTCCTCAGTCTCAGGTACACAGCCTTCAGCTCCCTTGGGAGTACCTATGGGCTTGTGTGTCTGACAACTGGCTTAAGGAAAAAGCAGTGACTCTGCTACTAACTTGTTCACCCCACATCCATCCTGGGATGCTTGTGACCACGACACTTGATTTCCCTGCTGCCGGAGGCGCCGCTTCAGGCAAAGGCTGTCTCTTGCCACCGCTGCCCCCTTCTGCCTGTGCCCGCAGCCGGGAGGGCCCTTCCCAAGGCAGCGCCCCGATTTCGCTCGGTGGGCTGAGGCAGCGCCGCCCTCTCTCCGCCAGGCTGCGGGATCCGCAGGCCGACGTTCTCCTTCACGGGGGTGGAGAGGATCACCGGCGGGCAGCGCGCGCGGGAGGGCGAGTGGCCGTGGCAGGCGAGCATTCAGCTGGACGGCACCCATCGCTGCGGCGCCTCGGTGATCGGCCATACGTGGCTGGTGACTGCAGCCCACTGCTTCAGAGGGTGAGTTGTCAGCGCCTCCCCGATCCTGCAGGCCTTAGGACGCTTGGGTGCTCTGATCTTTCATGGCCCACTGGCAGCTCCATCTGCTGAAAGATAGTGAAGTTTGTCTCTTCTCTGTCCCCTAGGCAAACCTGGCCACGCTGTGTTTTGATGCTTAAATAGAGAGCTAAGCTCCTTTGGGGATCTTGTTTTGGGTGGCTGTGCCATAACCTCAAATATCTTACAGAGTAACTAATCCTCGGAGGTGGACGGCCAGCTTTGGAATTCTGCTAAGACCTCCAAAACAGAAAAAACCCGTCCGAAGAATCATCATTCACGAAGGTTACGGCAACTCCGTCCTTGATCATGAATATGATGTGGCTGTTGTGGAACTTGCCTCTCCCATTGTGTTCACGAGTGACGTGCACAGTGTCTGCCTTCCTGAAGCATCCCACGTTTTCCCAGAGAACGCTTCCTGCTTTGTCACAGGTTGGGGAGCTCTGGAGAATGACGGTGAGCGTCTCTTACCTTCCCGTGCCCTGTCAAATCTACCTGGGAAGACTGCTGATAGGTTTTACAGGGGGTTTTGTTTATTTTTGTTATTTTGTATTTATTAACACTTGTTTTATATTTATTAATGACTTGTTTGATAGGTGCGTGTGTTAATGATACATCTGTGGACCAAGTTGGCTGCTTTTCTTCTGTCTGTGCCAGTGGATTGGTATATGGGGGAAAGACCCCACAGGCTAGCCTTACAGGAGTAAGAGCAGGGTCTTTTTTGTTGCTGCAGGCATTGTGCTGCTTGAATATGTTTTATTCTTTGTTCCCGCTGACCCAGGCACTGTGGGTTTAGCTCCGACATGAGTTCTTTTGCCATTCATCTTTGTCATAGATGTATCATGATGGTTTTCATCAGTTAATCTCTCTTTGGTCATAAATCAAGGATCAGCCAATGACTTGAGTGAGCTTCATTCAAATTAGTCCATGTCAATGAGGTTAGAGATGATGGGACTATACATCTGCTTCTGAGAGCTCTTGAACTGTATGGGTTGTGTTGGATGGTAGACTCTTGGAGTGTGTAGTGACTGCCCAAAGCTACATTGCAGTTAACCACATGGGTCTTTCCAATGCTATCAAGGACATATCTTTTAGCCTGCAGTTGAATCCAACACTGAAACATGTACAAAAGTCCTTTTGTCCATCATGCTGAAGGGCTTCTGGTGAGGATAAAAGATGGAGGAGGGTTATGTTTGGGAACAAGTGGAGGACTTGAAGGGGGAAAAAACCTTTCTTCTTCCAGAGACATTGTCTGAGTAGCTCCCTTCGTTGTCTGTAATGTCAGAAAGCCTTTAGGAAACTCTGTCTGTTCCTAATCTTTGAGTGTTTTAGGTTGCGTACCCTGTCTAAAAATTGTAATGCCTCTTCTCTCTCTAGGCTCTAGTGTTAATCACCTTCGACAAGCAGAAGTGAAAATTATAAGTACGGCAATTTGTAATAGAAGAGAAGTGTATGGTGGAGCAATAACTCCTGGAATGTTGTGTGCTGGGTACTTGGAGGGGCAGGTGGATGCCTGCCAGGTAAGTCTCTTCACAGGTAATAGTGGAAAGGAAATAGGTGGGGTGGGAGGTGGTATTTTATAGAAATAAAATACATTTTGGGGAATCTTGATGAAGTTTGTGTGCTTCGGTATCTTGACAGATGCAAATGAAGAGCTTTGTGGTTCATGGGCTGAAGTCTGCACTTAGATGCTTGGGGTTCATGTATAATGCAGATGTGAGAGAATACAGATGTGAGTGTGTGGAGTGGGAGAGACTGAAGTAGACATAGGATGTCAGCCCCTGTCTTGTCAGTGAACCATGTGGAGGCTGAATTCTAGCTGTGGTTGGCAGACAAGTGTCTGTCAGTTGCAGCAGGACAACGTGGGGCTTGCTGCCTTGCTGGGGTGACCACTGTTTACTCTGTTCCTGCCCCTGACATTTTTCTCCATAGGGTGACTCCGGTGGGCCACTGGTACATGAAAACTCCAGAGGAATCTGGTACCTCGTGGGAATAGTGAGCTGGGGAGACGAGTGTGGCAAGCGAAATAAACCGGGAGTGTACACACGGGTGACCTACTACCGAAACTGGATCCACTCCAAAACGGGCATCTGAAACCCGCAGCCAGTTAAGTTCTGTGCTCTCCGTACGCCTGTTCCTCTGACGCGCTCTGCTCTGTGGTTACCCTCTAAATGGCTGCTGGCGTAGCTTGTGGTCACGTATCGAGTGCCAGCAAGCTTGGAGTAGTCTAGGACTTGAAGCTGGTTTGGCCTACAGCCAGACAGGAATGGACTTGATCCATGTGACAGCTGTTTGTTCAGGAAGTACTCTGTCAAAGGAACAACTGCCTTTGTCTGTGTGCAATATACTGACCCTTCTTCCTCTGTGGACAAATGTCCTGGCCCCAACTTTTATACCCAGACAAAGCGTTTGAGTCCAAATGATCATTTACCAGACAAGTTATAACTCAAATGTGGCCTGCCCTTTTGCTGTGTTCTCCCAAGGCCCTTATCTGTCTGTAGGCCAGCTGCAATCCAGCCCCTGACTCCAAGGCTGCTGGGCCTCCGAATTCTTCTTGAGCTTTTTCCCGCATCGTTCCAGGGAACGTACTCTAATGAAGAACAGAAGATTGCTTAGAGAAGTCCTGGTTCCTAATATCATGTCAGACTGTTACTTAGGTGACTACAGAATTTTTTCTTGCTGAAAAAGGAATTAGTGGAAAACACCAGCTTCTGTCCACCTTCTTTGAGCAGTGCATGTTCACCCGCCCACTTACCGCTTCATACGGACAGCCCCTACCACAGCGTTTGCTGTAGGAGTGATTGCTGGACTTGCGACCAAAATCTGCTTTACATTCATACCAGACTGCTGTCTTATCAGAGCATTTGGCTGAATTAATTTCCATTTTTAACTTTCCAGATTATATTCTTCTGAATAAAAGTTCTTGGCTTTTTGTGCAGGATGGAGGATTGTAACAATCTCAGTATAACTGTTGGGGGAAAAAAAAAGCCTCTCAAACTGCTTATTCTTTGTGAGTATGGTTCTCAAGTCTTTATCATTTCATATGTACATCTTCAGCTACATGCTAAAAAGAAAAAAAAAAGATTTTGTGATAGAAATACCTGTCTCCTTCTGAGCAGGGCATAACATCTGACAGACCCCGTAATCTTATGTAAAGATCTCTTTCTTCCTGTGAAGAAGTAAGAATTGCCTCTGTCTTGTTGCCACACCACAGTTAACTCATTTGATCTCAACCACACAAATTTTGTATTCTCTTTGACTTCATGTTTTCAAGAGCCTGTGTCTCCATCTGCCAGATAGATCTGAAACACTTTCTACACCCTAGTAGCAGAACATGCCTATTCCTGGTGAGGATGCTTTCCTTGCTGTGTCTGTAGACTCTTTCCAACAGTTTATGTGAATGCTGATCCTGACAACAGCAAAAGCTTTGGTCTTAGTTGTTAGATAATGAGCCACTCAATTGCTCTTTTCCCTCTATGGACAGAAGAGAAAAAACTCAGCAAAGGAGACAACAATCCCACTGCCAAGACTCAGAGCTGGTCCAGCATGGCAAGCAAGCAACAATCTTGTACCAGGCTGGAAAAGGCAAACAGCAGGCTTTTGGCATGCTCATAGCTAGAAGATCTGAGGGAAACTCAGACTCTTCTCTGCCCTGGTGAGACCTCACCTGGAATACTGGATCCCTTTCTGGAGCCCCCAGCACAAGAAGGATGTAGGCATATTGGAGTGAGTCCAGAGGAGGGCCACCAAAATGATCAAGGGATTGGAGCACCTCTCGTATGAAGACAGGCTGAGGGAGTTTGGGCTGTTCATCCTGGAGAACAGGAGGCTCCAGGGGCACCTTATAGGGACGTTCCAGTACCTGGAGGGGGCCTACATGAAGGCAGGGGAAGGTCTATTCAAAAGGGTTTGTAATGATAGGACAAGGAGTAATGGTTTTAAACTAGGAGAGGATAGATTTAGACTGGGATTAGAAAAAAATAAATCTTCAATATAAGAATAATAGATCATCGGAATGGGCTGCCCAGAGAGGTAGTGGAGACCCCAACCCTGGAGTCATTCAAGGTCAGGCTTGACAGGGCCCTGGGTGACCTGACCTAGTTAGAGATGTCCCTGCTTGTGTGGGGAGGTTGGACCAGATGACCTCTGGAGGTCCCTTCCAGCCTAAAACATTGTATGATTCTATGAAACAGGTCCCCAGTGATTACAGGCTTAGGGTTAAAGTGTTGTCCAAACTGAGTACAAGTCAGTTGACATGGTCAATGGCAGTTCAGGGCATTCCCTCTGGACTATGCAGCTTGCCACAAGTGCTGCCAAACAGAGCAGCATTTGAGTTAACAGAAGTATTAAACTCAGCATTGAGAAGCAGTAACTCAGCAATGACTTAACAGAAGTATTTTAACTACACATTCTGTGGTCTGGCTGCTTGTCAGTACAGAGAACTGTGACTTTCTAGAGCTCCACTGCACGTACTGGAATACTTGGATGTCCACAAGACATCTGCATGAAAGACAAGGGTCTGCAGTTGCTGTGTGGTCAGTATTTTTGTATATCAGGAAACCTGGCACTTGAAACATTTTTCTCAGGGAACTTTTCTCATGGAATATTGTGATCTTCAGAGACAAAACTTGGTGATTTCATTTCTACATAGGGAGAAAAAGTGTCAGACTGGTTCTGTAGGTCTGAGCTCAACAAACCTCATTTTAGTCCCTTAAGCAGAATGTTGCTTTGAAGTATATTGCTTGTAAAGGAAGCCTTAAAAGTGATGGATGACTAGTATATATGATTATTTTTTTTTTTTCTTGCTGGTGGTACTTATCAGGACAGTGAATAAAATTTGATCTTCATGAAAAAAAAGCACCATTACAAGATGCCATGGATTTCCAGTACCCCAAAGCACTTTAGGCTTGGGTTTTCAAAGAGCATAGTGGTTTCCCCATCCTGCTGGATTTCATTGTAACTTGGAAATGTAGTATTTTTAGGCTTGCAAATCCCACCTATCTTGCTGGTTCCCTGAAACATAAGTAGATTTAAAAAAAAAAAAAAGAGTTACTAGTTTGTGAACTGTCCAGGTGTGCTTATTTTGGGTACAAAATCAGAAGGCCTTAAGCTTTTTTCTCCGCATCAAGTGCTACAGTAAATATAATTCTCCAAAGTGGTGCACACAAGGCTGAAGAAGTGAACTTGTCATTTGCTTAAGAATCTACCAGTTCCGAGCATCTTCTCTGAGACATACAGTACCTGACCCACCGAGTGCCAGCACAGGGCAGCCAGGAGGAGTGGGCCTGAATAGGGCCTGGCCTCTACGTGATGTATGCTTTGGGAACCTTTATTTTGGACTGTCCTGTGGAGTTTTTCTGATAACAGCTGGAACATGTCTTCTGATCTGGTTTCTTCTGGAAGCAATGTAGTTTGCATGCTCTGAGGCCTGCTGGTGATGCAGAGCAGTATAAATGAGGACCATCAGCAAGAGCACTTGCAAGAACCCCCTTCATCCTCTGGGAATGCTGGTGCAGATGGATGTAATGGGTCTGCATCCCTTACTCATGGGAAAACAGCACTAATGTCAGCATTGTCTGGCTTTTCCTGAGGGGATATTATGGGAACCTGAAGCAACATAGGTGGCCAAAGTGTTTTATTTGGTTTAGGTGGCCTAGCAGAGTTGTGTTCAGTTTAAGCTTCAGCCTCACCTATTTATGAAGCCACAAGCTTGACCTTCTCTCAGCCACCTTTTCACAGGAATTAACATCTTCACTCAAGGCAGAATGGGATGTATCTAACTATGCAATAATGCAAGACACACAGGGATGTAATTTATATGTAAACTTAATAAAACCTGTTAAAAATTTGCCTTCTGTTTTTCATGTACTTGTTAATTTCCCACATCATGGTAAGCAACCACAAGATGAGGGCTCCTCAGTTTCAGAACTTACACACTTCTCCTTATGTACTGGCTTTTATGTAGCCTTAACCATCTGGTTTCATTGCCTTGTTGGAAGAGCATAACTGTTAGACGCCATCCAGACTTGAAGAAAACTTACACCCACCTAGTCAGAGGTTACCCAAATTTGTGTTCAGGCAGACAGGTCTTGTGTCAGCCACTAGAGGGTGAGTCGTATAGTAGAAGAGCCTTAAGTTCTTGGCTGCTGGCGGCGCTCTGTTTCAGCTCAGCAGAGAGGATCTGGAGGGCAAAGCACCGTGTCCATGTTGCCTTGAAGACGCAGATGATTGTCTTGCAAATTTTGAGTTGACTACAGCTCTTCAGTTCTTAGCAGCACTGGGCGGGTTTCAGTCTTTTCCCCATCAGAAAGTTGACATCTAATGCTTCCCCTCATGCTCAGGACAGTGACCAAGGGGCTGAGGTTTTTGTCTGCTTCTTTGCCTTACCATAGCCAGACCCTTATCCTGTGGAAAAGTAGACTGGAAAGGCGCATTGTCAGGTATTGGCATCACAGGTCTATTTTCTGGGCTTATCATCCTTCTTGCAAACAATGTAGCAAAGAGCAGCAGTAATTTTGAGAATCTGATAGGATGGGAAGTTTGCAGTGGTATCCAGCTGCTGTTTGCATTCACCTCCTGTTTTGACAATTCCTGATTCCTGTAGTTGGAAACCAGCAGATTTCTTCTTGTCCCCTTTCCCATCAGAATGGGAAACTTGGTACAAATGGCACCATATACTGAGCCAGAAGAGCAAGATGTTGATAACTGAAACGTGTTGGGGTTCATTGATCCTGGTCTGTAATACCTAACAGCAGAAGGGATGGCCTTGGGATTTGAGATTATCTAAGAGGGTGAAAAGGAGTGTAAGAGCTTTGCTGCAGTGTTCCAGCACTTGCCAGGTTGGCTGTGGATGAGAGGGTGGCTGCCTGGTTGGAAGAACGGTAGCCCTTTCGTCACATTTTACTGGGTCAAGCACAAAGACTTAAGAGTCTTAGAGATGGACTTCTTAAAGGACATAATTTCAACAAATCTGATTTATTTATTTATTTATTTATTTTCTCATGGCTTAGGGAAAACTGCTTTGTGCTGAGTTTCTGACAGAGCACATGCTGCGTATGTGACACTTAAACCATTTATGAGCACTCAGTAGCTGGTAACTGCAATGACCCAAGGGTATGCTCAGTTGGTGTGGTCATGTCTGGCCGGGGGAACTAGGTGGGTGGAGTTTCTGTCAAAGGGTTTGAAATGAATGGAGAGAATAATAACTCTATTGCTCTTCTGCATGTGTGGTTGAACCAAGATACTTCTATAAAACAGAGTTGTCAATATTTCAGCTTCCTTGGGGTCTTTCATGCATTATTGCTGCAAAGAAAACTTTTAAAGACCCATCTGGTTACAATAGTTCAGAAACAAGTGTAACAAATGGCAGTTAATCTGCTGTATCTGCAAGAGGTCAGGATTGTGACCACCAGAGGAACCTGAACATACATAAGTCCATGGAAACGGATGAAATGCACGCCAGAGTCCTGAGGGAGCTGGCTGATGCAGTTGCCACTCTCCATGATATTTGAAAAGTCCTGGCATCAGGTGAAGTTCCTGGTGACTGAGGGAGTTACAAAGGGAAACATTACACCCATTTTTAAAAGGGTAGAAAGGAGGACCCTATGAACTGCTGACCTGCCAGCCTCACCTCTGTGCCTGGGAAGACTATGGAACAGATCCTCCTGGGATACATGCTAAGGCACATGGAGGACAGGGAGGTGATGTGAGACAGCCAGCATGGCTTCACCAAGGGCAAGTCCTGCCTGAGCAACCTGGTGTCCTTCTGTGATAGAGTGACTGCATCAGTGGACGAGGGAAGAGCTACGGATGTCATCTATCTGGACTTCTGTAAGGCCTTTGACACAGTCCCCCACAATGTTCTTCTCTCTAAATTGGAGAGATACAAATTTGATGGGTGGGCTGTTCAGTAGACAAGGAATTGGTTGGATGGTTGCGTCCAGAGAAAGAGGGTGGTGGCCAACAGCTTAATGGCCAGATGGGGAACAGTGACAAGTGGTGTCCCTCGGGCCCATACAGGGACCAGTGCTGTTTGATGCCTTCATCACTGACATAGATGGGGATTGAGTGCACCCTCAGCAAGCTGGCAGATGACACTGAGCTGTGTGGTGCAGTTGGCACATCTGAGGGATGGTATGTCATCCAGAGGGACCTAGACGAAGTTGAGAGGTGGGTCTATGTGAACCTCACAAGGTTCAACAAGGCTGAGTGCAAGGTCCTGCACCTAGGTTGGGGCAACCCCCAGTATCGATACAGGCTGGGGGATGATGGGATTGAAAGCAGCACTGTGGACAAGGACTTGGGGATACTGGTGGATGAAAAGCTCAGCATGAGCCAACAATGTGTGCTCATAGTCCAGAAGGCCAACCATATTCTGGGCTACATCAAAAGAAACCTGGCTAGTGGGTCGAGGAAGATGCTTCTGCCCCTCTACTCTGGTGAGACCTCACCTGGAGTGCTGTGTCCAGCTCTGGAGTCCTCAGTACAAGCAGCCTACGTGAGACACTGGAACAGGTTGCCCAGAGAAGCTGTGGATGCCTCATCCCTGGAAGTGTTCAAGGCCAGGCTGGATGGGGCTTTGAGCAACCCGGTCTAATGGGAGGTGTGCCTGCCCATGGCAGGGGAGTTGGAGCTAGATGATCTGTAAGGTCCCTTCCAACCCAAACCATTCTATGATTCTACGATTTTCAGCTCAGCTAGGTTGCTCAAATCCCCGTCCAACCTGGTCTTGAACATCTTCAGTGATGGAGCATCCACAACTTCCCTGAGAAAACTGTTCCCCTGTTTCAACACCCTCATAGTCAAGAACTTCTTCCTTACACCTTATCTAAGTCTACCCTTTTCCAGTTTGAACCCGCTACCCCTCATCCTATGTGAGCTCGTGTGAAAAGACCCTCCTAGATTTCCAGTAGGCCACTTTTAGATACTGGAAGGCTGCAATAACATCTCCCTGGAGCCTTCTCCAAGCTGAACAACCCCAATTCTCTCTGTCTGTCCTTGTAGGAGAGGTGTTCCAGCTCTCTGATCATCTTCGTGGCTGTCCTCTGGGCCTGCTTCAATAAGTTCATGTCCTTCTTGTGCTGTGGACTCCAGAGCTAGACACAGTACTCCAGGTCAGGTCCCACGAGAGCAGAGTTAGAGGGGGAGAACCCTCTCCCTTGACCTGCTGGCCACGCTGCTTTTGATGCAACCCAGGATACAATTGGCTTTCTGGGCTGCAGTCACACATTGTTGGCTTGTGTTGAGCTTTTCATCAATCATCATCCCCAAGTCTTTCTCCTCAAGATGTCCCTGCTCACTGCAGTGGGGTTGGACTAGATGACCAGGTCCCTTCCAACCCAAAGCATTCTGTGATTCTATCATCTTGGGATATTTATATTTTTAATTGAACTCATTCTTACCTTATACTTCCTTTGAAGAATATTTTGTCATTCATTGCTGGTGGGTCTTCCTCAGGTGCAAATACCTTGTTTCTGTAAAGACAGAGAAAAGGCTTTTGGGAACTTGTTATCAAAATATGCAATTATTTTGTTTTATGTAAGCTTGAATAGGTTCAAGAAATATATAGCAAGTCTCTGATTCACTTGGTTAGTTACTGAATTCCTGCCTTCTTCCCATAAACCTGAAAGGTTCTGTTTGCTATGTGTGTGTCCTTGCCTCCTGTGCATTCCACCTTCCAGGTGGCCACTGGGAAGTCTCTTTTTTGAGGAAGGACTTGCCATCAGCCTAGCATCCAGCACCATTTTAACGGCAGATCATTCTTTTTAAGTCAGTACAGTCTTCTGCCCATAATTTCCACACATCTCTGACCTTCTCTGACTCTGCAGTCTTCAGCCTTTGGAGTCATGACCCAGACAGTCTGTCACTGTTCTCCAGGCCAACAGAGATAACCTTCATACCATACCAAGGGCGGCTGTTACTGGGATCATTTCTCCTCCGTTTGACAGACAGATCAAGGGATGTACTAGGAAGTAATATCCCCCATGGTAGAGGGTAGTGAGAACATAAAAACCTTTTTTACTAGGAGAGTGGTTGAACATTGAAACAGGTCATCAGGAGAGGTCATAGAGCCTCCATCCTTGGAGACACGCAAAACCCAATTGGAAGTGACTCTGACCACCTTGGTCCAGTTGGCAGGAGTGGTAACTGATTCCAGTTGCCTGGAATCTCCAGAGTTCACTTCCCACCTCCACTAATGTGTGATTCTGTTCTCCCAAAGTGCCTAGCAGCTTCAGGGAAAGGCACATGGCTATGGCTGAGTGGAGGACACTGTCTCAGCTGAGGTGACTGCCCCTCGACTGCTTCTGTGACAGGTGAATGCTCTTGTAGACAACATAAAGAAGACTGATACCTGGTCATCCTCATGCTTGACCCTTAGATGCAGTGCCCAGTGCTGTTGTCCCCAACTTGTCTGGCGCTGTCACCACTGATTGAGTAATCAATCAAAATAGCAGGGCACAGAAGGGAAAACAATCCATTCTGTGCCACCTAGGTAGACAGCAGGTTACCCAAGAGTGAGCTCGGCCAGAAGGTCTCACAGCGAGGCAGCAAACCAAATGGGACTCAGTCCTGAGCAGTCCTGCCTGAAGCACGCTGGATTCTCCTGTTGGTGTGGCTCAGGCCCTGGACTGTGGCTGAAAGGACAGCCGGAGTTGAAACGGCTGCAGGATGGAGGTCTTGGGCTGGATTTTCATTGTGTCTGATTCATCGGTGGAACCTCGAAGGCTAATGCAGTGTGTGAGAAATCAAGTGGCTGCTCACAAGAATCACATTTAGGATCTTGCATGCTGCTGTAGAGCACACCAGAACACAAAGTAGCTTGGGAGAAAGCATCTCAAAGAGCCAGACTCTATTTGGCTTCCACTAGGCAAGTTAGCTGCTAGCAAGTAATATGAAATCAAGTTCCAGCTGACCATTTTCTGGGGACATAAAGATGTGGGAGAAGTCTTGTTTTGAGCATATTGTTTTCCACAGGGATCCTTGTTGGTGCTCCCAGCAAGTCTCTCTCACGCTTCTGATGCATGAGACAATGCTGCTGTTCTTGTGTTTAATGTAAACTGTGCCTATAAAGTTTTTCTTTTTATGTTAACGTGCCTTGGTCCTTTGTAGGCCTAGTCCAATTCAGGTAGAGGTCTCCTGTCTCTTTGGAGATGCTGTGTCTCTTTCCTGGGAGCTGAGGATTTGTGCCGTGGATGCAGAGAGTGGCTTGTTGGCCTGATTGCCAGGCAACCCCTGGAAGAAGATGTGGGCTGGCCTGTTTCACTGTACCAGGCAGACGCTCTGGCCGAGCAGCTGCAGAGGACAGGTGCAGGTGTGCTGCCTTTTTGCCATGAATGGGGCGACGGGCTATGAATTCTTTTTTAATTACTCTAGCAGTGGGGGACTCCTGTTGTCTAAGGGCGTTGTCAGTATTCTGGGCTGGCCTATCTGGCTGCAGCTCAGACGGGTGTAGCAGTTTCTGTTACAAGGGCCTGGAAAGAGGGATTAATTGGAAACCAGCCAGAGCAGGATCTACCATACTTCAGAGCTTGAGGCCATTGCTATAGCATCTGAGAGCCTCCGCGTGCTCGGGATCTCAAAGCTGCACGGGCACGTAATAGAATCTGGCCCCAAGTGACTTTTCAAGGCTCAGGATAAAGGGCCTGGCTTCACTCCCAGCCCTGGCATAGGCTCTGGAGAATCATTCTATCCTTTAGGTGGATTTTCTGGTTTCGCTTTTCTACCAATTATCTATTAAAAGCCAGGGCTGGGATTTTCATGTGGCAAAGGAAAGCATGGGGTACTAAACTGATGGCCTATTTTTTTGTCAAAACAGTAGAGATGTGTCCACAGCTGAAGTTAAAAAGCAAAAAGAAATGCAGTTCATTTAGAGCTTCCCCTGAATTTCAAAGGCTAAATGCAAGATGCCTTTTATATTTTCCAGAAGGGGGAAGTCTGAAGCCATAACTGAGCTGCCAAGGTGTGCTGGTGGAAAAGTAGTGGACTTGTCCTAGTGAAGGATAAGTGTACCACTTCATCACAAGGTGTCTGTTTAGTCTTATCAGATGCTCTCAAGCTCACAGAGTAATTTAGATTAGGAGGGATATACAGAGGCCATCTCACTGAACCCCCAGCTCAAAGCAGGTCTGATTAGTTCAGCTTGTCTAAGGCCGTGCCGTTCAACAGCGCTCCTGCCAGTGCTGTTGAGCATCACCAGCAAGAGCATTCACCTCTCAGTTTAAAAGCAGTGACTGACCGCCGTCTTTGCACGTCTAAAATTCGTGGCCTGGATTGAGTAACTGATAGACTATTATGTAAAACATCTTTGCTTGTAAATTCCGAAGCTGTTATTGCTGTGGGGCTGGCCAGTGGTTTTCTCTGGAGGCGTTCTTGGTCTCTGCAGCCAGGGAGCCTGTGGAAGTATGCAAACATAAGCCACGGTAGCCTGTTATTACCGTTCTTAGGCAAGCAGTCTGCCTGACCGGCCGGGCTGACCTTGCAGGGTTAAACGGAGAGAACGGTCATTACAGCTTTTGATACTTTCATTCACAAAATCACCCACATTCCCGGATTCCCACCCCAGACTTTCATAGGTAGTTTCTGCACTACTTCTGTAGTATTAACCAGAAAGGTTAGTCACTGCCGTAGCTGACTGAAGAACCCCATAATGCTAAGCACTTTGCAACTTGCTAATTTATTGTGAGGAAAATTGTTCTTTAATGATTGTCTTTTCTTGGCCTGTCTGTACAATTGTTCCTGGGGGACAGGTATGTGTAAATTGCTTTTGCATAAGCTGACACAGACAAGTGTTTTTCTTTATTTTCCACTCTTTTCCAAGACAGTTAATTTTAACGGTGCATTAATTTGAAAACAAAAGCAACTTGCTTCAATACTTACTAGGCAGATTGCAAAAAATTTCGTGATTGTAAGGAAACAAAATTATGTTTTTGGAATACTCCATTGTTCACACTCTGGAGTAACAACAGCAAGGTCTATCCTAGCGTGCTCTGAAAATTGCCAGAAGTTGTCCAAGACCCTTCCTCTAGCACTACCTCTTAAGACTCCTTGCAACCTTGACTTCTTCTAATGAATGCTCTTTGTCTCCACAAAATCTTGTTGCAGAGCCCAAAGTCTCAGGTAACTTTTGCCTCAAACTCTAGGTGCTTGCTAAAACTTACTTCTGCTGGAAT